ACTGCTGCATACACTGATAAGGGAGGGTCATCCCACTGCTGCTTACACTGATAAGAGAGGGTCATCCCACTGCTGCATACACTGATAAGGGAGGGTCATCCCACTGCTGCTTACACTGATAAGAGAGGGTCATCCCACTGCTGCATACACTGATAAGGGAGGGTCATCCCACTGCTGCTTACACTGATAAGAGAGGGTCATCCCACTGCTGCATACACTGATAAGGGAGGGTCATCCCACTGCTGCTTACACTGATAAGAGAGGGTCATCCCACTGCTGCATACACTGATAAGGGAGGGTCACCCCACTGCTGCATACACTGATAAAAGAGGGTCACCCCACTGCTGCATACACTGATAAGGGAGGGTCATCCCACTGCTGCATACACTGATAAGGTAGAGGGAGGGTCACCCCACTGCTGCATACAGTGAGAAGGTAGAGGGAGGGTCACCCCACTGCTGCATACAGTGAGAAGGTAGAGGGAGGGTCACCCCACTGCTGCATACAGTGAGAAGGTAGAGGGAGGGTCATCCCATGCTGCATACAGTGAGAAGGAAGGATGACCTCACTGCTGCTTACACTCGGGCGGGTCGATCGAATCTTCGGATGTGTGCCTCCGGAACATTGCTGACCAGCTGTTCTCAGGGTTAGACAGAGGGTTCCTCTGCGCAGGTGGCGCCGCTGTAGTCGCCTTGGTCGCCGCCGTAGCCGTAGTCGCCGCCGCCGGCTGCATGTCCGGCGTGGCTGGCTTTGCAGGAGGCACGCTGGCGCTTGCAGTGGCTGGGACCACCCTGGGACTGTTCGTTAGACCTGCGCCGCGCGTCGACGAGAACAAGTGAGCAATCGACGGCACGCATAATAGAATGAGTTCATTGGATTTCGTGACAACGTTAAGAGCAAATTCGTTTTATGCTTAATCCACGTTTATTGACCTGTTAATGAAAGTTTTCAACAATTTTAAGGTGTTTTTGGCAAGTTAAATGACATTGCATGGACAGTTTCTTGTCAGATGGAAATACATCGTAAAAGTAATGGCAGGAATTCGATCTAAAATGAGTGGAATTACTTTACTGTGCACGAGACTTGCTTAATTTACCTCTTATCCGTTTTTTTAAAGCTGAGAGAATTACATATAATTACAGTATTTGTTTTTTAATTTAAAAGATGCAATGTGTATCAGGAATGAGCAAGTGAAAATGTAATATTTGGGGAAAAATATATTCATTTTCACAACACACACACATACCTTCCAAAAGTTCAATACATAATATTTAAATGACTATTATATAAGCATCTTACACATTACTATTTATTTATATAATTTGTAACTTGATCGTAACAATTAATGTTATCAGGAGTGAATAATAATAGATTATAATAATCTATTATTATTCACTCCTGCTGTTATCATTAGAACATAGTTTGCAATGTAATTTGTTCGTACCTCCACACGGAGTTCGTTCGCTTACACTGCCGCTACTGCTGGCTGCGGGGGCAACGTCTTCTATCGCTGCCTGCTGCATCAGTTGCTCACGGCTCCGACAATTACAGAGCTTTATCAACGCTCGCAACCTGTTGACTTGGTTCTTCCTTCTTGTCACCTCCTCGCTAAAAACGCACGACACGAAAAATCGATAGTAAACGTAGATTCACCAACGTGACGCGAAAAGTTTAAAGTAAACGTAGATTCACCAACGTGACATGAAAAGTTTAAAGTAAACGTAGATTCACGAACGTGACACGAAAAGTTTATAGTAAACATAGATTCACCAACACGACATGAACAATTTTTGTAAACGTAGATTCACCAATGTGAAGTCTCCGTTCCATTCGTTAAACTCTCAAGTATATTAAAGGGACGATTATGCGAATGGTACAGCTGACCCTACTATAAATTCCCGGTTATCATTTAATAGTTATCAATCGATGAAAAATCAATAAATGGAAGTCTTATCGCAAAGAAAAGATCAACGAATGCTTACGATAGACACTGCTTCTCCCTTTTCAAGCGAGATATATTTGCCTGCGCTTCGAAATAGAGAAACTCTCCCACAACGCCACTGCGGGTGCTAAATTGCACACCTTGGTTGTTCCCTGAACCTGTAACAAACACAGATGTGCAAACTTGATGCAAATCACGCAGACAACGCACCAAAATTTAAGTCAGGCCCTAAAAAAAGCAGTGCATGACGCCGCGCTACACTACTAACATCAGAGGTTAATAATGACAAATTGTCATTATTAACCCCTGCTAACATCTCTGTGATCCTAATTAATAACAACTTATCTGCTAACACGGCGGTAACAGGGTGACCGCAGCGTGATGACCGCTTGACCGCCACGCTCACCTGTTCCCCCTGTTGCTGCTCTCGCACTGGTCAGTTGCTTTTCGGTATCGGCCAGCTGCTGCTGGACACCGCGCAGCTCTCTCGTCGCTGCCTCCAGCTTCGCGTTATCCTGCTTCAGCCGCTCCCTGACCGCTTCCTCCTCAGCCAGCTTCCTCTGGGCTCCCCTGAGCTCAGCCGCATTCTCCTCCTTCATCCGCTCCCGCTGGCTCGCCTCCTCCCTCAGCGCCTGGCCCAGCCTCTCCACTTCCTTCTGTGACGCCTTTCGCTCCTGTTAGACAGTAGGGCAGATTAGGTAAAAAATCATTCAGATAGCCATACAAGCATCAAATTTTGAGTGTTTCACGGATAGGCCACTAATTCACAAAAGAACGTTAGTTTTGCTCCTGTAGAAGCTCCTGTCAAGGCGCGTTAGTTCAAACGACGCACGCCACCTGTGTGACATGCACCGCGTGGTTGCAGATCAAGATAACGGGGCCATTGAAAAAAGATCTTCATCTTTCGACCGAGATTTAGTAATGGAAATGTGAGTGTTCTCGCATGAATGTTTTTCAGCTCGAGGAAAGCGACAAAACAGCACCCGGACAAGTGCCGCAAAAATCAGGTCGCAGGAGCGTAAGTCATGCGCGTATTTTCACAGGAGCGTAAGTCATGCGCATGTTTTCACAGGAGCGTAAGTCATGCGCGCATTGTCGCGGGAGCGTAAGTCATGCGTGTATTGTCGCAGGAGTGTAAGTCATGCACGTATTGTCGCGTGACCGTAAGTCATGCATGTATTGTCGCAGGAGTGTAAGTCATGCGTGTATTGTCACAGGAGTGTAAGTCATGCACGTATTGTCGCAGGAGCGTAAGTCATGCGCGTATTGTCGCAGGAGCGTAAGTCATGCGTGTATTGTCGCAGGAGCGTAAGTCATGCGTGTATTGTAGCAGTAGAGACATCTTGAAGCCTACCTAGGACCTTCCGTATACCCGGTATTGTGCTTCCCACTTTGGTCCTACTCATGGCATTGTCCCACCGACTGTAAGTGCCAATCTAAACCAATGTATCCAACTCAGATATCCCAGCCACTTCCCATCCACTGAAACTTCCAAGCTAATCTACGTCTGTCTCACAGCTAACCCATCAACCCCATCAAAGAAAAACTCAAGATATAAACACGAGAGAAAGGCTAGTTTTTTAACGTCTTGTGAGATAAAGCTGAAAGTTAGAAAGAAGGTTGGAAAGAAGCATTATATGTTGCGACGAGGTCAAACCCAGCCGTTTATCGATGACGAGGAGTGATGAATACTTCTCACTGAAGCCCCTGGCGCTCCCACACCCGCACCCAATCCTCTACGAATGCGCAGCAGCATCACTCCTGCTTCTGTCGCTTGCACTCACCTCCGCTTCGCGTCGGTGGGTCTTCCCAAGGGAGGCAAGCTGAGCGGTGAGCTTGTCCTCAACATCCTCCGCACGACTGATCTTTGACTTCAAGTCAGCAACGACCTTATCCAGGTCTTCGGCCCTAACTCTCGCCTCGTGGAACTTCTTGTTAATCTGACAGAGCATAAATTCCAGGCGTGAACTGACACGCCGGTGCAGACGTTTCATGGTGCAAGATTAATTACAAATGGTTATTACAAATTACAAAAAAAATTTTTAATGGTTTTGTAGGGCGAGGCAAGTGCTGCTCTCTACCGATTTCTAAACCTCTCTGTTCTTGGCCTTCCCAGACACTCAGGCTACGAGCATAGACCCAAGGAATTCCATACGATTACTTGTTTTCTCACCGAAT